AGACATTCCCAACTTGACATGATCAAAACTGAACTCCAGATCTTTTCTTATTTTTTAATTTAAATTCAATTTAGTCAACATACAGTGTATTATCAGTTTCAGGGTTGGATGTAGTGATTCATCAGTTGCATATAACACCCAGTGCTCATTACATCACGTGCCCTCCTCAATGCCCATCACCCAGTTACCCAATCCCCCCACCCCTCTCCCCTCCAGCAACCCTCACTTTGTTCCCTGGAGTTAAGAGTCTCTTACGGCTTGTCCTCTTCCCCATGTCTTTTCTACCAGGCTGCCTATGCCCCCATTGCAGTGAATGTTACCCCAGTCACCAAAGCCAGAAGGCTCAATGCCATCCCCTACGCTCCCCTCATCCAAACACTACCAGATTCTATCAATTCCATCTTTTAATCTATCTTGAAGGTAGACCCTTTCTGCCTCCAGGGTCTTATCACATGCTCCTTCCTCTGCCTGAGTTTCTCCCTCTCTTAGCTTAGTTTTCTGACTCATAAGTCTCAGTCTATGGGTCACTTCCTCAGCCCAGATAAAGACCTCCACTCATACGTTCCTACTCAAAAATGTATGCTGCTTATGTGGCAGAAATCCCACTGGAGATACAGGCCTGAACAAAACAAAGGGTTTGCCCTTGTGGAGTTTACAGTCTAATGGAGGGAAACACCAAACCATGAGCTCCATGCCTTGTCTAGACCACACTTCCGTGCACTGCTCTCCCTTTCACAGGGCATATAGGAGGCAACAAATACTTGCTATTAATGAGCTGAACAGTTAAGTATTTAAATGAACATACATTACCTAATTTATAACCATAAAACAAATTGGGCCCATCAATAATTAACTCAATAAACACTAACAAAATAACTAGTGGAAAGCAAGCTATTATTATATTCATTCCAGTATTTGAGTGCTACTCTGTGCCAGCATATCCAAGATCCCAAGGTCTTGGGATAGGCAGCAAACAACACAGCCCTGAACAAAACAGATAGGGTGTCTACCTCCAAGAAACTTGCACTCTAATGGGGAATATGGACAATAAAAAAGAAAAAAAAATGAAGTAATAGATATATAATACAACTATATATTATAGATATACTGTATTACATATAGTTATGTAATACAAAAAAGTAAATAGAGCAGAGTAAAAGGACAAGACTGGGGGTCAGTGCAGAGCTAAGTCAACACCAAATCCTACTTCCAGGGTAGATCCTTTATCCTACCACTTCTCACTGTCTCACCTTTTACTAGGGCTATTATAACTAGCCTTAAAACTAGTTTCAAAAAAAAAAACTAGTTTCCTAAAGGACTTAGCTCTGTACTATAGTGGATAAACATTTCTGCTTGGCTTTTTTCTGGTTGCTACACTGTTCTACAGGATTAAGTTTCCACTTAAACCATTACTTTAAATGTTATAATCAATGAGAAAATCTAATTTCAGATCAGTGGCTCTCAACTTCTGCTATCCTTTCGAACTGTATATAAAGCTTTTAAAACATAGATTACTAACATACATATGCTTAAAATTCTAAATCCTAGAAACTATGATGGCTCTTTATTATTATTAATCATAGGTAGTCTCAACTAGGGTTAAAAGTTCCAGCTTGAAATTATTTTTTAAAATATACATAAAACTAGGCATTCTGAAAATATGTGCATAATTTGACTTGTCTAATTTCAGTAAGTTTATAAAAAAAAAAAGGGAACATTAAATTTGTCCCAGGGCTGAAAAAAAGTTAAATCCACAGCAAAGCCAGAGGGTTTGGGTCTTATAGATAAGACCCAAAGGATCAATAACATTTTGAAATGAAAGATAAATTACTTTAGTTCTATTGTTAGGTGACTTACAATTTAATATCCGTTAGTATGCATAATCTAAATCTAAAAAAAGTGTAATATTTTGCTAATAGACTTAAATGCATTTCACAAATGTTAAGGCCCATAAGAGATTAAAGTTAAACTGTTTTTGGATACATTTAGATTGTATAAATAAACAAGGCACTCACCTATAGATGGTTAAAAAAATATATTTTAGGGGTCCAAGAGTAAATTATGAACCTAGTATGTCATGGATAATTTCTTAACAAATAAGACAAAAAATGGAATATAGGTCAGATATTTGAATTTGAATTCCCATGAAAATGAAACAAAGCAAAATCAATTATAAAACAGCAATGAAATATTCTTTTACATACATATTTATACACATATAGAGATTGTAATTATAACTGGAAGATCTTTGACAGTCCTCTTTATATGATTTGTTCCTTCTGAAAAAGATAACCTCATGAAAATTACTTCATGTCCCAAAAGAGCTCGAGTCATCTAAAAATAGATAATCTATTTTTTTTAAAGATTTATTTATTTATTTATTTGAGAGAGAGAGAATGAGAGAGAGCAAGCACATGAGAGGGGTGAGGGTCAGAGAGAGAAGCAGACTCCCCGCCGAGCAGGGAGCCCGATGCGGGACTCGATCCCGGGACTCCAGGATCATGACCTGAGCCGAAGGCAGTCGCTCAACCGACGGAGCCACCCAGGCGCCCCTAAAAATAGATAATCTAAATTCTAAATTAAATGCTTTAACCTCCTTACTTTGGGCAACTTCCTAAAAAATTAGAATGCTGAACTTCATGCGTCATCTTAATGATTTTACAAGTTATTAATTCTTCACAGGGGCTACAACACACAATACCTAAGTCTTTGCTGAAGTCTGAAGGGTTCCTGTTACTGAAAACTCTGCTTTCCTTCACATACAGTTCTAGGAAGAAAATCTTCAGAAAGCAGTGATTCGACGAACCACTAGAGGGCAGCAATAACACACACGCGCGCGCGCGCGCACACACACCCTCTCCCCTACACAAGGTATCCTGCATAAAAACGTTTAAGCAAGCAAAACTCATCACGGATGTATTTCAAGATTATTCACACTGAAGAAAATATCATCATCTTCTTAACGTTATTTGAAAAATTACCAGTGTCCCATTATGTATAAGTTGTCTCCATAGTAAATAATGGCTCCTCTCTCAGTGGCTCCTTCCGCATAATTCCCACCAGTTCTTAAACTGCATTTACCACCGACAGCAATTATTTACGTGACTCTCTTCTCCACCTCGCTTATGAACTCCCAGGCTCACAGGTTCCCACACAGGGAATTGGCGCAAGGTACCACCAGCTTCCAGAACAGAATAGCCACTCAGAGAGGAGGAGGAGGAGGAGGATGCTTAACGAATAAAAAGACCAAAATTTCAGAAACAGTATTCATATGTTTTGATAAAGGAGAAAAACATTTAGTTACAGAAACACCAAACCAGCCAACATATACACAAACGGCAGTCCTTTAAAAGTCCATCACAGAGGCTGGGAGGAAACAAAACCAAACACTGTGTACCTTTAGATACCTTTCCAGTGTTGTACCAACCACATCAGTTTCCTATTCCAAAACACATAATAAAAAATAATGAGAGTTACTTTTAAAAAAGAAAAAAGGTCATCTCACTGATATGAGGAATTCTTGATCTCAGGAAACAAACTGAGGGTTGCTGGAGTGGGGGTGGGGTGGGAGGGATGGGGTGACTGGGTGATAGACACTGGGGAGGGTATGTGCTCTGGTAAGCGCTGTGAATTGTGCAAGACTGTTGAATCTCAGATCTGTACCTCTGAAACAAATAATGCAATATATGTTAAGAAAAAAAAAAGAAGAAGAAGAAGAAGGTAGCGGGAGGGGAAGAATGAAGGGGGGGGAATTGGAGGGGTAGACGAACCATGAGAGACGATGGACTCTGAAAAACAAACAGGGTTCTGGAGGGGAGGGAGGTGGGAGGATGGGTTAGCCTGGTGGTGGGTATTGAGGAGGGCCCGTTCTGCATGGAGCACTGGGTGTTACGCACAAACAATGAATCATGGAACACTTCATCTAGAACTAATGATGTAATGTATGGGGATTAACATAAGAATAAAATTTTTTAAAAAAAAGAAAAAAGGTCGAACACCTGTCCACACTATCCTAACAAACCTGAGTGGAGCGGGACCAGGACAGCAGATAAACTGCGGGTGGGGAGTCCACTTCATTTTCTCCATGCTGACCTCCCAGCAGGGATAATATTCTTGCGCTTTACAAGCTCCTTTCACTTACATCACCCCTTGATTCCTTATACCAACCCCGTGTGTAGATACATACTATGACCACCTCCACTCTCCAGAGGAGAGAAGTAAAACACTGCCCCCAAGTGATAAAACCTGACGACTCCCATCCGACGTGGCGGGACTGCAAAGCGGGGACAAGCGGACACTCAGAGAAAGAAAACGTCGTGCCGGAGATGCTGTCGCTACCCTGAGAGGGACTGTCATCCTCCCAACACCCTTCTGCGCTCAGAGCGAAGGCCCGAGGGAGCAAAACCCTGCGCGAATCCCTGCGCCCGAGAACACGTTAAGGATACCCACGGCGAGGATCTTCCCCTCCAGCGCCTCGGGGCTGACCTGCCGCCCGGAGCACTCCAGCAGCTTCCAGAGCCCGTGGACGCCCATGAGGCCCCGCCGACAGTCGGGGGCGGGCTCGCGGGACGCCTTCTATTCCAATTCTACCACAGCCTGCACCACCGCCGGAGCGCGGGCAGAGCTCCCCTTGCTCGCACCCGGGGAAGATGGAAAACAATTCAGAGCATGCGGTTTTCCAGGGAACACCTGCGCGGGCGAGAACGGTACTTCCTGGCGGCTGACACGGCCTCACGGAAGAAAGGCGGGCCCAGCGAATGGCCGGCGTCGGGAAGGAGCAGGTCCTCCTCTCACCCAAGGTTTGGCCCAAATGTAAGCTCTCTCGACGGAAGAGCAGGGCGAGAGCACAGCGCAGGCGAGATAAACAGCCAGAAGGTGGTCCCCCGACACAGCCTGTCTTCTTGAGTTAGTGCGTAAACCCACGCGAAATGGGGCCTCTCGGCTTCCGTCTAATGCGACGCTCCGCGCGGAAGTCCCGCCTCACGGTATTACGTATATTTGCTGCGCCTTTTCATTCCCGGAGCGAGGGGGCGTTTCAGTCTCTGCGTTCGTGTTCTTCCCGTGCTTTCTCCACGTTGGCCTTCAGTCGCCGCCGGACGCTACAGCTCTTCGCAGAGTGTCTACTTGTTGAGGTGACAGTTTTCTACGTCTCTTCTGCGTATCAGTTTCTGCCCACCAGCCGCCACTTGTGCACTCTCAATACCAAGTATTGTTTTTTGGTTTTGTTTTGTTTTTAAAGATTTTATTTATTTATTTGAGAGAGAGAGAATGAGAGAGAGCACATGAGAGGGGGGAGGGTCAGAGGGAGAAGCAGACCCCCCGCCGAGCAGGGAGCCCGATGCGGGTCTCGATCCCGGGACTCCAGGATCACGACCTGAGCCGAAGGCAGACGCTTAACGACCGAGCCACCCAGGCGCCCAATACCAAGTATTGTTTTATACGAGAGGCGACAATAGGAAGGTGGATGGATGCTTTGCTGGTGTTTTTAAATTAATAAGCGTTTTGTCTGATAACTCGTAGTAGCTAGATAATAACAGGCCATCATTTTAAGCTAAGCACCTTTTAAGAGCCTTAACCCTTGAAATTACGTTTGGTTTTCTCTGGCGTCTAATTTAGGATTCCACGGCTTGTAGGCCAGAAATGACGAGAAACTTAATTATCACGAGTAGCTCTCGGAGAAGCGCACTAGAATCCGCAGGCCCAGAGTCGGATCCCCAACACACCACCTCGCCTTAGTGTTCAGCGTTGTTCAAGTAACGTTTGTTCAGAACTTGCTTCTTCCTCTGCAAACTGGGCATAAAACCGATCTTTGCAGACTGTTTTTGGTTTTTTATTTAAGATTTTATTTGTTTATTTATTTGAGAGAGAGAGAGAGAGAAGCAGGGGAGAGGGTCAGGGGGAGAAGCAGGCTCCCCGCGGAGCAGGGAGCCGGATGTGGGGCCCGATCCCAGGACCCTGGGATCATGACCTGAGCCGAAGGCAGACGCTTAACCGACTGAGCCACCCAGGCGCCCTTTAGCAGACTGTTTGAGCTAGGATCAGAGGTGATGTATATAGACTACTTACCATTGCTATTCAATAAACGATAGCCTTTATCATACATACTGGTTCTGATTTAAAGTATTGAAAGGAAATTCAAGCTCAGTGGAAAGGTTGATTTAAATGAGGTGATTTTGTTAAAGGAACCCTTGATGACAGAACTATCAAAAAGGAATTTTTAGCAAAACCATTGCACAAAGTGCTTTTTTTTGCATTTCCTCCATCTGTGGAGTAATTCCCAGAAAGAGTGCCTGGTTGTATTTTACAGAGATTAATGTAATTGCCTATTCAATTTTTTCCTCCCCTCCCACACACTCCAGACGTTTAGCAGGTATTCCATAAATATTGCCCAAATGACCTCTTTCAGCCTCTAGTCTAAAGCTGTCAGGTGTATCTTGCACCATCCTGAAAGAATTTCCCCTCAAGTCAGGCAGCCTTTGGTCCAAATCCTGTCTGAGCCACATAATAACCCTTTGTTAGTGGGTTCAGTTGTGTTCAGCTCTAACATTTACGTTAAAGCCCTAAACCCCACCACCTCAGAACGCGACTGTATTTGGAGATAGGGCCTTTTAAAGGTGATTAAGTTAAAATGAGGCTGTGAGGGTGAACCTAACCCAAACTGACTGTTGTCCTTATAAGAGGAAATGTGGGCACACAGAGAGACCCCAGGGATGTGTGCACAGAGGAAAGACCCCGAGAGGACAGAGCTAGAAGGTGGCCATCTATAAGCCAAGGAGAAAGGCTCAGGAAAAACCAAACCTGTCAACAGCCCCAGACTTGCAGCCTCCAGAACTGTGAGAAAATAAATTTCTGTTATTTAAGCCCCCCAGTCTGTGGTATTTTGTTTTGGCTAAGACACCCTATGATCCTAAGCAAGTTTCTTCACCAGTGAGAGTCTGAAAAAAATGAAGATGCGACCTTCTTCTTGGGATTGTTCTGAGATCAGTGATTTAATATGAAACACCTAGTGGGTAATGGTGTTCAAATTAGTTTGCTGAGCGAATGACTGAGGGAGAAAATGCTATGGGAAAAGCTGATATACGAACTGATGGATCCTAGAGCACCTTGCCTGAGCCCCTTGAGTGTGTGGGGAGAAGGCAAGTTTGGATGTGCTTTAGCTGCTGCACCAGCCTGGCCTAATGATGGGCCAACATAGTAGTGGGGAAAGGAACAGTTTCAGGATTTGATCTAAATATTTTGTTATGCCTACGAGCTGGGTAAAAACAAATAGCCAATGTAGGCCTTTGAGTATTATAAGTGCTTTTAAGACCAGAACATTTCTTGAATACAAAATATTCTTTTGAAGGAACAGTAACTAGGGTGTATGTTGGATTTATAGCATCCTTTAGATGCTGCTTAAAGAGCTGTCAAGATTCTGAACAGTAATACACATCTTTTGGAGTAATAATAGCAAGCACTGCCTGGAAAGCACTGTTCTAAACACTGTACATGCATTAACTTATTTATTCTTCAAAACAATTTATAAAATATATGCTATTATTTCCACCTTACCAATGAGGAAATAAGCACAGAAACATTAATCTTAACTTGCCCAAGGTGATACAGCTAGCGAGTAGAGCCAGTATTTGAACCTTCAGTGCTTCTATAGAGACTCTTAAGAGTTGACCAAGAAATCAAATATGACAGGAATGTTACTAATCTTGAAAGAGAAGCGTGCAGTAATTTGCACATAGTTTTTGGAAAATTAGTCTCTATAAACCTCAATGTGCTCTTAATAACCGCCAAACTTACATATCAAGTTATTCAGTAATCATATATATCAAGACTTCTGTAAAAATTGTTTATGGCGGGCGCCTGGGTGGCTCAGATGGCTGGGCATCTGCCTTCGGCTCAGGTAGTGATCCCAGGGTCCTGGGATCGAGCCCCACATTGGGCTCCTGGCTCGGCGGGGAACCTGCTTCTCTCTCTCCCCCTGCTCATGCTCTCTCTCTCTATCTCTCTCTCAAATGAATAAATAAAACCTTAAAAAAATTATTTATGGCCAATAGGCAATCTCTATAAACTCATCCTTAGGTGTCACTTTTTCTTTATGTTGCATTTGTCTCCTTTCCTCTTCGTTCTTCCTATCCACCTCTTCTCTGAAATGTTTCATTGAACTCTATGAAATTGCTGATATTCAACTATATTTGACCTACAAAAATGACAACTTCGTTTGGTTCGAGCTAATATAACTAAATTTTCTATTTCCTATTATAAAGTCTTATAGGAATCTAAAATTATAGTCATAATGTATATTGTTTTCATTGATTATAAAAGTCTGATACAAGACAATTTCTTATAATACACTACTTAGGCGCAATTGTCACAGACTTCAAACAGAATTCCAAGGGTGCTCCCTACCTAAAACAAAGGTTCAAAACATTCACATTATTAAAAGTAGAAAACAAAACTTTATTTGATGAAAACTTCTTAAAAGTTTCAGTGTGAAGTAACAAAATCAACAACCTACAAATCTCTTTCAGTCCTTTGCATTTCACGCAAAATATTCTCTTCAGAAAAATGACCATTTCATAATAAATATCCCTCTCTGTAGGCTAGGCGTGTCTGAATGGATAAATGGATATAAAATTCAAAAGAGAAGAAAATGAAAATATTTTAAAAATAAAAATCTGAACCCTTTCCTTGAGGTGTATTGCAATGTGGTTACCAACATATTCAGCACCTTGTAATAATCAAGTTACTGATTTGAGTCATGGAACAGCCCCTGAAAAGAAAGAACAAGTCATAGGTTGGAAGCAGAAGAAAAATTGACATCAACTAGAGAGGAGCTCAAATATATGAAATCCACTCTTTCTGAACTATTTAACACTCACTTCAAACAGCTAATTGTACAGATTTTAAAAAGCAGCTCAGAATTGGGAATATGGATATTTCCCTGATGCATCTTTAATGCTGTTAACAACATAGGACTCCACGCTGAGAAGCTAATCAAATATCAGAAGATCTCATTTCACAGATTACCTCAGATGTAGAAACTTTGGATCCCACTTGTTCTTTTATTCTATCCCAAAACAAGGTTCATTGGATAGTAAGATACCAAGTCAAAAAAGTCAAGAATATCCTGAATCAATGCACCAGTAGAAAAGATGAGTTTCTTGAGTCTTCTCTTTTGCCTCTTTATTGAGGATCCTGAGAAAGTTAGTCAGGAAACAAATGAGGCAGGCAGATACTGCTTACAAATAAAAGAATTCTAGATTCACTAAATAATTTTAAATGAGCTTTAACCGTGAGAGGAAACTAGAAATCAACAGCCCCAATTGTGTTTAAAAGGGCAAATGGTGCCTTACATCTTGAGTTTAGGAATAAAACTATCTGCAGCAAATGTCTGGTGATTAAGTCATAAGAAATAATTTCATGCTTAAGTATTGCAAATCATGATGCTATTAAGTGAATTTGTGTTTGATCTGCTTATATGCAATTTATTGGATCTTGTGAAATGTTTTCATACTCTTAACTTTAAAAGGACAGTAATCTGTGCTTATCCGCTTATATATCTGAAATCACCCATCATAATCATATACAAGCTTATTTACTGGAGAACTACAAGGTTATGTTGTACCATATGTATCTTGTACCACAAAATCTGTTCCTATTTAGGGTAGACTTAATAAAACTTCTACTGTCTTAATGCAGTATTGTATAGACCAGTCATGTGTGTAACACAAGATGTTCAGTGCCCAGCATGGTCAGTCATTCCCGTCATAATCACTATAACCCTGGTAGCCACTGTTCCTTCTCTCATGGATACTGGACATCTTTTTCCATGCCAAGTCCTGATGGAAACTAGCACTGAAAGACCGGCCCAGGCGCCCATGATGCTTCTTGGAGATATTATCTTCACTCTCCGATTTAGCAATTCCCTGGGCATGTGTTGGAGGTTGTGATTCTTGTCTCATGGTTCCAAATGTAAAGTTCCAAAGGCCAAATCTCTGCCAATTAAGTCTCTGGAATGCTATGATGCAATGCAAATTTCCCCCAACCTGAGAAGAAAAAAAAGTTGGATTAAGAAAATAAAAGGAGGGCACCTGGGTGGCTGTTGGTTAAGCGACTGCCTTCGGCTCAGGTCATGATC